CCCCCCCCCAAAATAAATAAATAAACATTAAAAAAATCTGCTTTAATATAGCTGGATTCTTATAGCTGTTTCTACATTCAGTCTGTTGTGATATGTTGTTTTACTTAAAGTATATAAAGAAAACCTGGCCTCACACTGATACATAGTTGAAAAAAGAATATTTTATTTTTTGAAGTTTATTTATTTATTTTGAGAGACAGAGAGAGTGAGCAGGGAGGGGCAAAAAGAGAGAAAGAGAGAGAGAATTCCAAACAGGCTCCCCACTGACAGTGCAGAGCCTGATGTGGGGCTTGAACCCATGAACTGTGAGATCATGACCTGAGCTGAAACCAAGAGCCAGATGCCACCCAGGCACCCCTAGATTGCACATATAAGTGAGATCATACAGTATCTGTCTTTTTGACTTATTTCACTTAGCATGATACCCTCAAGGTCCATCCATGTTGTCACAAATGGCAGGATTTCCTTCTTTTTTATGGTTGAATAAAATTCCACTGTATATATATACTGTAACTTCTTTTTTAAGTTTTTTAAAAATATTTTTTTAGTAATCTCTACACTCAACATGGGGCTCAAACTTACAACCCTGAGATCAAGAGTTGCATTTTCTTACAACTCAGCCAGCCAGGTGCCCTATATACTACAACTTCTTTATCCATTCATCTGTTGATGGACACTTAGGTTGCTTCTTCCTATCTACCTACCTTCTTGTCTGTCTATCTATCTATCTACCTATCTTCCACTGTCTCCCACCTATACCTTTTTATTATTTTATTTTTTAATTTAATTTATTTTTTCATAATGATAAGTGTACTTTTTAATCCCCATCTTCTATTTCTCCAACCCTGTCCCCTTCCTTCTGGTAACCATCAGTTTGTGCTCTATAGCTAAGAGTCTGTTTCTTGGTTTGTCTTTTTTTCCCTTTGCTCATTTGTTTCTTAAATTCCACACACGAGTGAAATCATATGGTATTTGTCTTTCTCTGACTAACTTACTTTGCTTAGCATTATACTCTCCAGCTCCATCCATGTCATTGCAAATGGTAAGATTTCATTCTTTTTTATGGCCGAATAATATTCCATTGCATACACATAACCAAATCTTCTTTATCCATTCATCTATTGATGGACACTTGGGCTGCTTCCATAGTTTGGCTATTGTAAATAATACTGCTATAAACATACGGAAGCATGTACCCCTTTGAATTAGTGTTTCTGTATTTTGGGGGTAAATACCCCATAGTGCGATTACTGGATCATAGGGTAGTTCTATTTTTAATTTTCTGAGAAAACTCCATACTGTTTTCCATAGTGGCTGCACCAGTTTGCATTCCCACCAACCATGTACAACGGTTCCTTTTTTTCCACATCCTCGCCAACACTTGTTGTATCGGTCCTTTATATATTTTAGATACTAACTCTTTATTGGATATGTCATTTGCAAATTTCTTCTACCATTCAGTAGGCTGCCTTTCATTTTTGTTGATTGTTTCCTTTGCTGTGCAGAAACTTTTCACTTGGATATAGTCCCAATAGTTTATTTTTGCTTTTATTTCCCTTGCCTCAGGAGACATATCTATGAAAATGTTGCTATGGATGATGTCAGAGAGATTACTGCCTGTGCTCTCTTCTAGGACTTTTATGGTTTCAGGTCTCATATTTAGGTCTTTAATCCATACGTCGTTTCCATTTAAATTTTATTATTAGCCAAAAATACTGCCAATTGTTTTCCTTGAAGTGCCATGTTCAGATCATCTGTTTATAAGAAAAATGTCTGCCCAATACTGAAATTAGAATAGTCATGGTTTGCCATTCATTTAAGTAGAAATGGTGTTTTACGAAAACAGAAATTAGTTCAGCTTATAACTCAAACAACTGCACAAGTGCTTTTCCTCCAGATAACTACCGTACTTCAATATCTACCAGCAGTGCTTTATGCATACTCCCAATCTGTCATGTAGAATAGTAAAAAGATGGGTCCTCAATGATACAGATTTAATAAAACTAACAATCTATACTGCTTTTTCAAGGACTTTTTTTTTAAAAACCCTGGCATCTTAAAAAAAATGCAAGTACATGGGCAGTGAAGAACACAATGACTGTGTACAGTTTTGTGCCACTGCCTTGATTACTCTAAGGCCCAGCAGTGCTACCCACAACTGCTGATGCACCATCAGTGCAAGTGCCAACAGAATGAAAGGGCAAATAGCATCTTGGCATTATTACGAAAATAAAATTCAACTTCTAAACCTTGTTAAAAAATCTCAAGGACCGTAGGGGGTCCATAGACCAAACCTTAAGAACCTCTCTTTTTGAATCACTATATTGTACACCTAAAACCAATTTCACAACGTATGTTAACTATACTGGAATTAAAATAAAATAAAAACAACTTCTCCTTTAGGATAAACTCCAAAAGAAAAATTTTCCCCAGTCATTACTGTTTTATTTCTAAATGCAATCTGAGTCTTTGGTTAATGGGTATTTAATTCCTTTATGTATATAGTAATAAATAGTTTAGTTCTACTTACATGATCTGAACTTAAGATGTTTAATGCTTCCTTGTATTTCACTTTTTCTTTTTTAAATTGATACAATACTTCCACAGGATATAAAATTTAAATAATTCAAAAGGGGATTCTATGAAGGATTAAGTCTCTTTCCTATTCTACATCCCAGTACTCCTCTCCAGAAGCAACCACTATTTTTCATTTTCTTAGTGGACATTTTTTTTCTCCTTTTGTGAACTGCCTCTTTATGTCCTTTGTCCATTTTTCTAATGGGGTACCTATTTTCTTGTTAATAATTTGTAAACGTTTTTATGATAAGGATAGTAATCTTTTGACTATTAAATATTGTAATATTTTTGCCCAGCTTACAAATGCAAACTGGTGAAGTGACCTGCCTAAGGTTGCAAATTAGTGAAAAGGCTTCGATTAAGATCCAGAGCTTCTGACTCTTGTATGGATGTAAGGATAACATACCTGGATTCAAATGGATCTTGCTTCTCCAGAGGTCTTACTCTTTTCTTTGTTACTGCCAACTTAGTTAAATCCACATACTTTGTCTCTCCGTTGCTATAAGTGAACTCAAGAACACTATTCCATTCGCCTTGCACTCTGCATACCACAGTATTGGTGATGTTGTGCTTTACTTCACCTGTAACCCTAGAAGCAGGTAAAAAATAAAGATATGCTCTAATAAGTGAAACTGGGCTTGTTCTTAGAACTCTGAAACCTATAAACGTACCTTCTGAATTGTTTAAATTGGGTATACAGCTCACTTCAGTTTGTCAGTGCCAAAGTCAGACTCTGTAAATCCCATGAGAGCTTACTAGGTAATTTTTTCAAATAATATCAACTTTAATCTTTTTTTCTAAGTTTATTTACTTTGAGAGAGACAGTGTGAGTGGGGGAAGGGCAGAGAGAGAGGGAGGGAGAGAATCGCAAGCAGGCTCCCAGGCTGTCAGCAAGAAATGTAACATCATGACCTGAGCCCATACCAAGAGTCCGACGCTTAACCAACTGAGCCACCCACGTGCCTCTCAACTTTAATCTTCAGAAAGAATACTGGGAATCAAACCAGAGACTAAGTTACCATGAATGATCACAAGGTGTGATCTTTAGATGTTTGCTACAAACAAAACTATTATAGGGGCGCCTGGGTGGCGCAGTCGGTTGAGCGTCCGACTTCAGCCAGGTCACGATCTCGCGCTCCGTGAGTTCGAGCCCCGCGTCGGGCTCTGGGCTGATGGCTCAGAGCCTGGAGCCTGTTTCCGATTCTGTGTCTCCCTCTCTCTCTGCCCCTCCCCTGTTCATGCTCTGTCTCTCTCTGTCCCAAAAATAAATAAACGTTGAAAAAAAAAAATTAAAAAAAACTATTATAATATTAAAACTAAA